AAGACAAGGACACAACAGGTTTTGGGGGGGGGGGATTCTTAAAATTGGGGCTATATGGAAATTTGGACACGTGACTTTTTAAATCCTTATTTGCCATACGTCACATTTTCTATGGAACCCCGTCATACAATCTAAATCAGACGATCTGACGCATACAAAAGCGGACAATGTTGTAGTTCTTAGCATTTTAGCTAAACATTATATTACACAACGTGAAAGCTCATCCCGATTTTGCGCGCAGGCACAATGTACAGATTTTTAAATGGTCCTTATATCCACTTCCTTAGAACCAGTCTTTTAAACAACAAAACTACACACACACACACACACACACACACACACACACACACACACACACACACACACAATATACTGAAACTACAATTCATTCTTTGATAACAAAACCAAATACAGACAGACAGACAGACAGACAGACAGACAGACAGACAGACAGACAGACAGACAGACAGACAGACAGTCAAAGAGCATGAGAGAGATTGAGAGAAATAGAGACAGAGAGACAGAGAGAGAAAGAGAGAGAGAGAAGTATTTCTTTTTTTTTAACAATAGTCTTGGGGAACTGCAAACACAATTAGCTCATATATGCCTATGATTAGGGATGTTGCAAGAGAGTAACATACAAAGAAAAGACGGAGGAGAGATAAGGGCGACAGACGTTTGTTAGGAAAGTAAAAGCAAACCACACCAGAGCACCCACCAACCACATATGAGCAGTATTCACCTCGTGTACGATTAGAAATACAATGTAATATTCGAGTAATGGTATTACGTAAGAGTTTTACGGCACTTGCAACACAATAAGGTCATAATATAAGTGCCGATTATTTGGGGTGTTGCAAGATAGTAACAAACACAAAAAAGAGGGGAGAAAAAGACGATAAATGTTTGATGGAAAAGTAAGGAGCAAACTACACCAGAGCACCCGCAACCGCCCGTTTACGAACAATGAAGAAACTACAACCTCAAATGTCTAGAAAGCAAAAACCTTCGACGGTGGGGACGATAATTATATTAGCACCGCCCAGAACAGTCAGCCTATCTAAAATCCATTAACGGGGCGTGGGTGTAGCAACTGAAGTCTTTCAGAGAAAGCAGCGAATTTGTTATCAGTTTGTTGTCTTTTTTTTTTGGGGGGGGGGGGGGTGTTTGCATGCAAAATGCACCCAGATTAAACAAGTATAAAACAAAAAAAATCGTTTTGTATGTACATAATTAGAAAGGAAAAACTCATTACAATGGAGCTACTTACTGTCCAGACATTTGCCAACACGCGTGGCTGCCTTTGTGAGTGCCCGCGATGGTCCTATTTGAAAAAAAAGGAGGAAATGGGCGGGGGTAATGATAACAAAAGCAATGTGTTTACCTTTATTGAGCATCCGGAATATTGCAATACTCTGTGGTCTTGGGGTTTTTTTAAGGACATTTTTCAAAAATTACATTGTAATCAACTGTTTTGCACTATGTTATTGTGTCAGAAAATTTAAGAAAAATTGAATCATTGACAGTGGGCAGTATGAAACTTGACACAGCTAAACAGACAGGCATACAGACAGACAGACAGACAGACAGACAGACAGACAGACAGACAGACAAACAGACAGACAGACAGAAAGACAGATAGACAGATAGATAGATAGATAGATAGATAGATAGATAGATAGATAGATAGATAGATAGATAGATAGACTCTCAAAATTATAAACAATAAGTTTAAACAGTACTAATGTCCATACCAGTGTCTTTGGTGCCACAGGGTGGGCAAGCTGCGGTCACTTGACATGTTGGTTTCTCTGAACATGTCACAGTGCACGTGCAGGGGTCCCACTTGCAAACTTTGCACGGAGTGGATTTACACCTACGTCACATTTGGGACAAAGAATAAAACACTTGCTTACATCTGACTCTGTTTGATTTGATTTTGTGTACAATAAAGAAGGTTTTGTTGTAGTTTTGTTGGGTTTGGGGGGGGGTGTTTGTTTATTTGGGTTTTTTGTTTGTTTGTTGTTGTTTTGTGTTGTTTTTTGTGGGGGGGGGGGGGTTGTTGTTTTGTGGTTGCTGGTTGTTGTTTTTTTGTGTTTTTTTTTTGGGGGGGGGCGGTGAGAATAAAAATAATGACTATCCACCGCCGGAGTATTTGGCTTCAGAACAATAAGGCTGGTTATTTATTGTTTTTAAAAAAAGAGAAGAATAGAAAAGGGAAGGGTCGTGGGGAAAAAGGAGAGGGCTGCTTTTCTTGAAGGGGAGGGGGTGTTGCTGTTTACTTGTTAGTTTAATTTGATGGGTTGGTTTGAGGTTTTTTATTTTGCTGTGAGGGTGGAAAAGGGAGAAAAGGAGGGGGAGGTATTTAATGCTCTACAATAAAACTGAATGGACCTTCCACTGGGATTTTGACGGAACTCTTGGGTGCTACATCATTATACCCTGGATAACCAGATCTGGGTGGTAAGACACCCCGAAAACACAGTAAATACGCAGGACAGTGGATGCCACTCCACATGCCAGAGAGACTGAGGATTATCGGTGGGACTCTATCAAGGGAGTATGCTGCTCCCACTATTGATAAAACGGCGGACTATATCAATACTGATATATTGCCCGTCCGCTCGGAGAAAAGAAACAAAGGAGATACATATTTATTTTTTATAACAATATCATAATTAGCTTTTCATAAATCTGAAAATTTCTTATGAAGCTCTGTCAACACGGGTCTTGATCGCAATGACTATTTTATGGACCAACCTGGGTTTACATCGTCTGCAAGGGTCACATGGGTCACATGGGTTAGCACATGACGTCCGACATCGTCTTGGACGACACTTGGTGGGCACATCGCAAGGGTAGCACACGCTGCGAAACTTGTCACAGATGATCTTGCCTGATTTGATCTCCTGTTTAGATACTGAAACAACAACACGACTTATTTAAGGGTACTGAAAGAAAAAAACGGAAGAATGATGATGATTATGATTTTTTTCTTTTTTTGTTTCCTTAATGGGCCTGACGGACTCTATGAAGAAATCTTCGAGCGAGAGCGAGGCTCTTTTTCGGCTCCATTGTCAATATGCTTAGCGGCACCTCCACTCGTCAAAACAACTCCATTCGAATTGCCATTGTTCCTGGACATTCAATCATATGTTTGACATCTTCCTTTTCATGGCGCATCTTCGGCAACATGGGCTGAGCTCTTCATTTACAAAGTTCTTATACCATCTTAAACTCCAATGATGGTCCGACCGCAGTCTCGCTAGCTCAACCTGGTCCCAGCGACATGTGATAGACTTTTGTTCCCGCTTATAGGAGTACCCAAAGTGGCAAGCTGTCCCCTTCACGATGGGGAGTACCGTTCTCAACGAAGAAAGCCACAAGCAATGGGGAAGCTCTAATGATGATAATGATGATGATGATGATGATGATGATGATGATAATGGAAGAGGACAGGAAAGAGAGAGGCAGATAATGATAATGAGGAGAAGGCGGGAGATGATGAATGCGATGAGGAAGATGGTATTTTCAAGAGCATAAGGGCAGAAAACCAATCGCGGGCTGAGTTAAGGCGCTGTCTACGATGTACTGTTACCCTGAATGTTAACAGACTTAGCTTCATATTGCTTAGACAGCATCAATATGATTGCGAGAGCCTTTTCGTGTCAATCAATATGATGTACAAGCTGGTCCCCTTTCGGTGAAAGGAATGATCGGTGCATTAACATCAATTGAAAGTCATTGGCCTACTATGTTTACACTCTTCTGGAATGGAGCAATAAATCTTGAGAGATTAGAAGGTCCAGATCTATACCCTCAAAACAAAATGCGCCTCGCGAAATATCACTTCCGGCACTTCCGTTGTGAAGGACAGCTATGCAGATTTATTTCGTTTCTCAGTGGAATAATCACAAAAGACAAAAGCCAAAGAAGGACGGGAACTTTTTGTCAAATATATTTTTTGAAATTCAGGAAAGGAATGAATCTAAAATTGGGCTCCGTCATGGTGACCAATCTATCTTTTTGCAGGTAGGCCTACTTGCCAACTTTCAACTCTGTAACTGTCGTAGTTTTATGGGAAAAGTGACACATGTGTTTCTAAGTTGCCAAATATATAATAGATTAATATAATACTATCGATTTGAGAGATCCAAACGAAAAATGTGGTACCCAGAGTGACTCACTTGACGGGGAATCTTTGCTTGGATTGCAGGGGTCACATGGTCTACCTGGCTGACATGGATCACACGGACTGCATGGTTTCTTCCAGGGTTTGCTCGGGTCGCAGGGATCACATGGGTCACGTGGTCGCCACGGTTTACATGGATCGCAAGGGTTGCAAGGGTCGAATCGTTTCCTCGGTATGCGTCTTCGTGGCCTACAGGGACTACATGGGTCGCAGAACTTAGAAGGCCAGCATGGATCACATGGTGAAGTAGGTCTACAAGGGTTGCACGGTGAAGATGGTCTACAAGGGTCGCAAAGCTTAGAAGGCCTGCATGGGTTGCAAGGTTTAGAAGGCCTACATGGGTCGCAAAGCTTAGAGGGCCTGCATGGATTAGACGGCCAACAAGTATCGAAAGGTTTACAGGGATAGCTCGGGTCGCAAGGGTTGCATAGCTTAAGCGGTTTGCAAGGGCTACAGAGATAACATGGCTTCCGTGGTTTGCAAAGGAGACATTTCCTTGATGGGTCGGAAAGGCTGGAGGATCTTGGAGGTGTGCGGGGTTTGCGACAACAGCGGCGGACGGAGGGTCTGCAAGGTGTACAACCAGCTGACTTAGGAGATGGGGTGGGGGATCCCGATCCGGGCGCGCCACAAGGTTTCTTGCAGGTCGGCAACAAAGGACGGCTGACTACAGACGCAGTTCTGGAGAAACTCGTAACAAAATAAGGCGTTATGGTTATTCAACTGAATCTTCACTGTGCAATGTCCTACTAATTTTTATATCTATCCACAGTCTAGAGACTCAACCACCACCCCCATCTCTCTCTCACTCTCTCTC